CACACACACACACACACACACACACACACACACACACACACACACACCTTTGTTGCTTTGCATGGGCGCACACGCTCTTGCTCAAGCGTTTGCGCCATTATGTAACTCTTAAATCTCTGTTTTCTTATCTCACTCATTCACTCATTCTCTGCTTTCTGTTTGCTCAGAAATTCTCAAACCAGCTAAATTCAGGTCAGATTACTTCATAAAGTTAAGTTTTACTTTTTTACTTTGTTTAATCATACGATGAAGATAAACATTGAAGAAAACAAGCCATTGATATTTGCTTGTTTTCCCTTTGCACTAATTGAACTCATCTTGATGACACTGACCTGAGTTCACTGCTCCATGACCTTGAACTAAGCTGCACTTAGTTCTCACTACAACTTGAAATTGGTTCAGATAGTTCAATAAAAGTTGCTATTTATATAATACTCTTTTCTAAAGTACCACACCATTATATTTTGGTCTTACTGTTCATATTTAATTTTGTTCTTAGCTCAATAAGCACCACCACCATGTGTCCCCTGGTTACTTCTTCAGTCTAAATCAAGAGAAAATGTGAATATTAAATATTATTATGCGTCAAATGAGACATACTGCCTTTATGGATGAGTAAAAGAAAAACTGACAAGACAGAAGGAGCTGTCAGACGACTTTATGACTTCAAGGCTCATTTTGAGTTTAGCAGTGATTCAGGCTCAAATTCCTTCCGGTGAAGATGAAGAGGGGAACTGAAACCGAAGCGAGCGGCGAAGCCTGTGCTTTGTTCATATTAAGATTTAACCAAGACAGAAAATTTACTCAAAAAGCTGTTTGCCCAGAGTCCCTTAGACAGCTGCAGAGGGATAAAAACCAACATAAGGGTGCACGCTGAGCCCATGCTAAACACACGGGCTGTGATAGCGACTCAGTGGGACCGTCCAGGCCACACACACACACACGGCGGGTTTCTAACAGGCGCCTTGGAAAAGGTCAGGCAGACTCGCCGAGTGAGGAGTGGAGCGAAGGTGTCTGAAGACAGGTGTGGAGGCAGTGGGAAGTGAATCCTTTTTTAAAATTTATTTATTTATTTTAATTTCTCTTTTTTTGCCACTTCAGTGGGAAGTGAATCCTGAGTGTGAGCTTCTGTGTGAGTGCATGTGTGTGTGGCTTCCTCAGTCAGTAGAGCTGAGTTGAAGGATTAACATTGTAGCCTGCATGGGCTTGGGGTAATCTCACTTCTTACATAACACTGAGCCATTAGTCAGCACAAAAAAAATAAAACAACAGTAAACAAGACAAACAACAGTCCTGGGCTGGAGAACTGAGCACAAACACAGCTCCAATCGCTGCCAAGCAGAGGAGCTCAGACCAGGTGCCCACTGTTGTGTGAGATAACTGACTTGATGGAAACAAAGAAAAGTGATGATTTGCTTAAAATAACAACTTGATAATCTGTTTTGTTTGTTTGTTTGTTTGTTTTGACTGATGAAGCTGGTTCATCAATCAGTGTTTCCCTTCATATTTTACGAGTTACTGTGAGAAAATAGAAGGGAGATTTCATTAATGCACACAAATCATGAACAAGTAATCTGCACAAAAGGAAACCTTTAGAGTCGAAGAACTAAAGTTTTATTATGCTGTTGTGCGTTTCTCTTCTACAGATGGAGCATGCATTAAGTGCTGAGAAGTAATTAACCAATATTTTATTTTCCTTCTAAAAATTCATATAAAGCAATAAATACAGTATAAAGCAATCCAAGGGCTGGTCCATGGATTTATCTGCACAGACTGCTTCCGTTGGCTTTGACTACAAATTGATCCCGGGATGCTTTCGAGCCGGACAGATCGATGCTCGCACAAGCCGCCAACGCAAAGCAGGATGGGCCTAATTCTATTGGCATGAGGCCGTCAAGCGTAGTTTAGCAGCTTTTTTTGTGGTTGTGTGTGTTTTTGAAGCTTTCAGCTTTTACATGAGAGCTGTCCCAGAGATGGATGTAAATAACCTGAGGTGTCACAAGTTCACAATAGTTGTTTTAAGCAGTTAAAGTTTCTGGTCATCATTTTGTCTTTACTGTCTCCTCATACAAACCATGGAGGTCCTATTGCACCTTCGTGGGCTGAGGGGTTGTGATTGACACATGTCACTTATAGAGATCAAACAAAAGCCCCGCCCCTCTCTTCTGTTTCCTTCCTCATTGGTCTCTACCTGTTTGACCCCAGAACATTTAAAAGATAAGCTCTTTTAGGTTGACTATACTGACCACACACCCACACACACACACACACACACACACACACACACACACACACACACACACACACACACACACACACACA